AATAAAACAAAGCTCGTTCAAATACAACCGTCTCTCGCGGCCACACCAATTATTTCTTTAATGTTGAATTACCTAATCACCCCAACAGCAAATAAATTCATTACACACATTTACCCAATATTTTACTATTGTCGAAAACTCGAATTTATTACGGATACTCACAAGAAATCAAATGAATCGACGGTTTATTTTTCACACCGCACGCCAGCACTTCTCCATTCGGGAGCCAGAGTCTGTTGAAAATGGTTGAAAATATCCGCTGGATATTTGAACTTGAATTTGTCTGAAGGCAGCCAATGAGAGAATAGCAAACGTAAATATCCGAGCAAATCCTCGCAAGAATGACTTTTTTACACGATTTTAATGCGTATACTTCCCTCAGTAATTCATGAACATGTACAAGCTGGAGTTTACATCAGTTTACGTCTAAAAGAACAATTTCAGCTTGCGTACGTAGGAAAATTCAGTTAAAAACTCGAAACGTTTTTGGTTTTTCTCAAAATCTGCTCCTACCAGGGATCTCGTTTGCTTCCGTACATGCCGGAAAGTGGGGACGACGCGACCATGGTGGGGACCAATAGTTGGTGGGGGTATGCAGTGATTTTCAAGATTTGTAGGCTTATTTTGGCTATACATTTCGTCAAGTTGGCAACGTTGATAGTAGCGCCAAGCCAAGTGTGACGTAGACGAACGCGGCGCTGAATCATTTGAGTTTGGATTCCAGGCGTAAACACTTTCACGTCCAATTTGTTTGTTTTCTTGAATATTGTTGTTGTTACTCGTTATTTTGTTGTTTTCGTTATTGTTATTTAATCTTGTTATTGTAATTAGTAGTTTTCGTGAGTGCGAAATGGCTCAATCATCAGGTAAGATATATTTTTAGTACTTATGTATTATGTGTATTCATGCACCGAGTATAATTCAATAAATTAATGATCCTGTAAGAAACATATGTTGCACAGGAAAAGTTGATGCATAAAACAGAAGAGCATTTTTTACAAGTGGCGGCTTTATTCATTTTCGCTGAGAAGTGTGGGAAATATTGCAAGATTC